AGTTCTCAGTATCTGTGATGGATCATATTTCCTAGGGCAGTTTGTTCCACTCATGTTTAACGTTCACCAGTACTGGCCTATCGACAAAAGATGTGTTGGATATTGGAAGAACTGTATCTATTGGTACGTAGTGACGCGTATTTGTGTTTCTTCGTAACGTAATTAGGCTTCTTAGATAGGAAGGCGACTGATTGCATACGATTTTATGAATTAAATTAAATTTAGAATATTGAATTATTTGCCTAACAGATGGTATACCGAGCTCAATTTGTAACTTTCGACACACATACCGCGACACGCTGCGGATATAATCAAAAATGCACCTCGTAGGGTGCTTCTTCTAGCTCAACACAATGACCACAGGACAAATGATCTTCCGTCAGTTATAGGTATACCAGGTTTAAGGGAACGTTTCAAAATGTATTCCGGTCGGTCGGTCGCTATTCTTCTATTCCTCTATTCCCCGATTATTCCTCTATTATAGAATTTAAATTCTAATTTATTTTATTTTATTTTGTATAATTCGGTTTCTTTGATTGTATTGTTGATACATACATCGGCATATATATACTTCCAATGTGTTCGTTTTTTTAGCAGACATCTTTATAAGAGCTGACATTTTTCTGTTTAAAGAATAAAATCAGAAAGTAACAAATTTTATATTTTCATCAAATGTTCATCTTTTTTATATTCAAGGAGGCGAGTGCTCACTGTAAACTTATTTCGTATTGCACCAACTTCGCGAACTAACATTACACTAATTAGAATAGACCCATTTCCATCTTTTATACTAGTTTAAAGTGCACGAGTTGTACACTATGCTGGCCTATTTTTTAGAAAAGGATCCCTTTTAGTCTTTGAGAAATATAACCGTGAATATGGTTAATTATTGTTTAAAAAAGCAAGTTTTTCCGTGCGCGACTTCCAGAGACTTGTTTTGCTTGTCTCGAAACTTGCTTTTTTAAACAATAATTAACCATATTCACAGTTATATTTCTCAAAGACTAAAAGGGATCCTTTTCTAAAAAATAGGCCAGCATAGTGTACAACTCGTGCACTTTAAACTAGTATAAAAGATGGAAATGGGTCTATTCTAATTAGTGTAATGTTAGTTCGCGAAGTTGGTGCAATACGAAATAAGTTTACAGTGAGCACTCGCCTCCTTGAATATAAAAAAGATGAACATTTGATGAAAATATAAAATTTGTTACTTTCTGATTTTATTCTTTAAACAGAAAAATGTCAGCTCTTATAAAGATGTCTGCTAAAAAAACGAACACATTGGAAGTATATATATGCCGATGTATCTATCAACAACACAATCAAAGAAAACCGAATTATACAAAATAAAATAAAATAAATTAGAATTTAAATTCTATAATAGAGGAATAATTGGGGAATAGAGGAATAGAGGAACAGCGACCGACCGACCGGAATACATTTTGAAACGTTCCCTAAGTTGAGTTATACCATAAAGCATATTTATACAGGTACATAATTGTATTGGAGTATCAAAGTATACAGCACTATAGCTGAATATTACTTTGTTTACAAATGTTTTCCAATTATTTAACCTGTGTCGCAAAAGTACTTGATAGAATAAGCCAGAATTAACGAGTACCGCTTGACCTCGTAGCACACTGCATCTCACAGATGAATAAGTCAAGTCTTTTTCTGACTTGACTTGTGACTTGGTCTTATAGACTTGCAAAATTATGCAAGTCCCGGCTCTCTAGCTATCGTCGTTCGGGCAGGGCTCGCTTTCCCCGAGCACGTGTCTATCTCCGAGCAGACATCTCTGGGAATCTCAAAATGCCATGGACTATAGGTAATCGACTACGCTGAGCATAGTAGCAACATTTGTTTTTGTGTAGAATGAATATAACTTCGCCAGAGGCATTGTTGTGAAAAACCGATTTTTCGCCTGTTACTAGCAAAAATTAAAATCCTTATATCTCGATCAAATCTCATGCGGGCTCAAGGAAATTTTCAGGAAAGGCTTAAAAGGTGCCATATGTTGTCGACCACGCCGAAAAAGTGATCCAGCAGAGCACTGATGCTCTGAGGTTTTTCAGAAGGTTTCTGGAAAACCTTAAGCCAATTCCCAGCTCACATTCACCTTTTTCGTCTTCGATTATGTTGTATGAGCTGTCCTGAGCGTTTTCTGAAAATTTCCTTGAGCCAGCATGAGATTTGATCGAGATATAAGGATTTTAATTTTTGCTAGTAACAGGCGAAAAAATCGGTTTTTCACAACAATGCCTCTGGCGAAGTTATATTCATTTCTACACAAAAACAAATGTTGCTACTATGCTCAGCGTAGTCGATTACCTATCGTCCATGGCATTTTGAGATTCCCACAGATGCCTGCTCGGAGATAGACACGTGCTCGGGGAAAGCGCGCCCTGCCCGAACGACGATAGCTAGAGAGCCGGGACTTGCATAATTTTGTAGAGTAACGTCCGAACTATCTACGCATGCAAAAAAATTGCTAACATTGTATGTTAGTTTTCTGAGAACGGAGCTGATTTTCCAAAGACCCTCTGAAAATCCGATCTCTGGAATTGTTTCAAAAGTTGCTTCCGCTTGTGAAAAGTTTAGTCTTGGCTATTGAACAGCGAAAATCGCAGGTCTCTATCTCATTCCTATCAAAAGTTATTCAAAAAATACCCACGGATCTTGTATTTTGTGATGGATAGTAGTAGTTAACATAGTGTATAAAGTGCTTTATTCACTTTTAATTTTAAAACCGTGAAACGCATGACGGTTTTTATACACGGTTTCTGCAGTCAATTTGGCATGTTTTTTTTCTCTTCGGACTGTCTTCAATGGTTATTGCGCTTTTGTATTACGCTTTCATTTCAACAGACCTAGCATTTAATGCTTTTTCTTCTGTGAGATACAGTCCGCATGACAGATATCTGCCTACATGCGACAAAAGAAAAAGATAATTTTTTTCTTTCTTTGTCTTTTTTCACGCCTTTCAGATCGCATCACTGAAATAGATGTGAAAATAAAACTTCTTTACGCATTCATCATATTATAAGAAACGAAATAAAAAGCGAATACAATAATATCTTCATTGTTTGTACATATTTTAAGTCCAAATTCACATTTTATTCTTCGACTAAATATCTCGTTTTTTATGCTTGTCTAGCTACTTTTAAATAAGTAATGTCTGATTGTTTTGACCCTAGAGATCGATTCTTATATAAGAATCTTACCAGAAACCTATAAGTCTCTTATCAGTATCTTATAAAATTCTTATAAGAATCTTATCAGTTTCTTATATAAGATTGTTTAAGATTTCCCATCGACAGTCATAAGTCTCTTATAAGAATCAGATAAGATTTTCATACGAGGTTCATAAAAAGATAAATCGCACTTAACGAGGATCGAACTCGTAATCTTCCATTCAGCTGCCTGATCTTAACCATTAAGCTATAAGTGCTTACTCTGTTTATGTTATTATATCAAGTTATTTTAGATAGAAATGTAAGTTACGCATAAAATATTGCCCGATTAACTATAGTTAATACATCCTAATAAAAGTTTTATATTTTTAAAAATAACAGTTCTGTGAATACGACTCACAAATCGGTCATCAGAATAAATGACCGTTACGGCCACTTACTAGCCCAAAAGATTTGACAGCAAGTAGAAGTAACTTAATCATAACAGAAATCGTAAAAGCCGACTCATAAGATGCCCTCTAGTACATATTAACAACATAAGAATTTTTGGTCCTTCTTATGTTTTTCTTACGAGCCTCTTATGAAAATCTTATAAGATTCTTATAAGACACTTATGGGAAATCGTAAACAATCTTATATAAGAAACTGATAAGATTCTTATAAGAATCCTGTCAGTTTTAGCAAAAAGTTCTTGTCTAGGGGACATAGTAATATTACGAAAACCAGAATAATAGAAATATTCGATAGAAATAGAAGAATATACTCATGTGCCTCTAATTTTCTCAATGATATTGCACAACAAATAATGTATTTTATATTGTCCCTCTTTGTAACGACAAGATATAGTTTATGCCTGTAGTGCGTGCCAAGAAATATTTCAGAAGTACTGTGAAATTCCATCCAGTTTAAAACTTTTAGAAACAGAAAATGAACTAGCAAGAGAAGGATCCAAACCACCTTCATTGTTCTCTTCAGTAGAATGTTGTATTTAACAGTGTCAAATTGACACTGTGCCCAGTAGTATAACTTCATCTCCAACTCCAATAACTTTTAGTTAGCTTTTATTAAGTAAAATACTAACTCTCCAAAGCGAACCAGAGAGCTTATTCAACACGATATAATCAGTTAGCGAATAAATATGACTTGAACCAGAAAACTCATGTTCTGTGTGCTACACATACAAATAATACTCCATTAGTGAAAAAAGGAAAAAATTCTAAAATAACTGGTTCACCTGTCTTCTCTAAATATGAGAATAGGCCTCTAGCTGCTAGAGTCTAGCATTCGAATAGAGATATATCTTTATTGGCATTTGCTTCACATTTGTCACATTTTTCGTCACAGAAAAGATAACAGTTATATTCTCGTATTTTGTTTCCAACGGACAAAATGGCGGAACTGAAAGAAGAAGAAACAGTCTGTTATATTTAAAAATGAGTGGCAGAGTAGCCTGAAAGTGTAAACATATCTTGCTGAATACCTGATCTCTTTTGTCTTTTCTGTGATGAAAAACGTGACAAATGTGAAGCAAATTCCAATAAAGATATATCAAAGATATATGCATATCACTATTCGAATACTAGACGGCTAATGAGTCACCAGTAATATATATTGTGAAAGAATGAAAAGAATAATATTTCATTTGTAGTATAGTATACTTAGCGTGCACAATACCTTTCTGTTGAAAGGAAAGAACAGAAAAAAAGAGAAAAAGCACGATAGACAACATTACACCATCTGACTGAAACATACTTCTTTCGCCATATAATAGACCGTGTAGTGCAACCATCATTTCACAAAGAAAGAATGACAAACAACAGCACCACTGTTTGTATTGTCCATTCACGTCAATATTCATCAAAATTTCAGTCAAATTTAAATAAATTAAGATCAACTAATGAACCGGTGACATTGATCAGCCGATTACCAAAGAGATGTTGCTCCTGCAACAGTGAAACATCCACAACAGTAAAACCGGAAACTGATCAAATGTTGTTCGATTTAATACAAACAGTTTATCAAACTGTCAAAGATGAAGGTATGTCCTGTCAGTTTCGCTTAACCTGGTTGAGCCATTTTAACTTGCACCATAACCCAAAGACTAAACAGTTCACTCGCTGTATGTTTTAGTAGTGTCAGCTCGTCGTCATCTGATCTTTTAAAGAAGGCACTTAGAATCAGTGCTAGCAACTCATTCCAGTCACTAGCTTTTTTGTGTTTTGACTGGCTTCTAAAACTTCTTTCTCTTTTTCCATGTTTCTAGCCAATGCACCAAAGCCTTTTCCAGCAACTACAGCTTCTGACAAACCTCAAACTCCAAAACCGATACACATTAATCTCGATGACAGTAGTCAGTCATCGAAATCAGTTATCGGTCGTTTCGTCGACAAGAAAGGTGCACACATTAAAACATATGAGCGTCTCTACCCATCAATTAAATCAGTACAAATTCTGTGTTCTACAACGAAACAAAAAGTTTTAAAAAACTATCGTGATATAGCCAAACCTTTACCACAAATTCACATACAACTGACCGCTCGACTCTCAATCGATGACGAAACATCGTTAGTTAATAGAATTAAATTTGATTGGCAACGTGCAATTACAACACAACAGGATTTTGAACGAAAATGGGCAGTATCAAAAGCAGAACGTAGGAAACAACGTGGTCTAAGGGTTGTTCGACGTACAAATGTCGTATCTTCCTACTATTCCTCTGACATACATTTACCAGAAAAGTATACATTATCACATGCTCCACCTGAAAAGTATACATATTCACTGTCACATGTTACACAATATCGTGAAAAACAACGACGTCGTCGTCGAGAATCAGAACCAATTATGCTACGTACAAGTCGTAATTTAGAAGGAAGACGTACACGGGCAACGGGTGATCCAGAACAAGAGACAAAACGAATTGTTTATCGTCAGAAAAAAGTAGGTTCGAATATGAAAGATAAACAATGGTTAGTTAAAGAACAATTGGAAGATAATTATTCTGACTTGTCAGCTGAGTAGTTTATATTAGAAATATGATAAAACAAGGAAAAAGTTTTAGAATAAAGCATTGGTTCTAGTCTTGTTTTTATTTTTCAAAGCGTTATGGAATCTGTCTCATAAGATTTTTGGATTGCTAAATTTCGGCCAAGTCATAGCTCTTTCTGTTAGGCAGAGTTTTTCTCCATTAATTAACAATCTGCTAAAAACTGATTGCGCATGTCTGGGCGAGAGTTGGAACAGTCATGGCTGCACCAGTGTCTGTTCAGATTAGTTTAAAGAATTTCAGTGAACCTTGGTCTTGGTCCCTTTTTACTGACTAAAAAACTTTTTGTCTGAATCATCTTTTCATTGGCTGAGTAATGCCCTTTGATACAAAGTTAATCCAGATGTATATGATATGTTCTCCATTTTTATCTTTAATCTAACTTATTCTTTCCTGTGCGCAAGCATATACACATTGTTTATATTTCTCCAAGAAAAACATGATAAGTCAGATTACTAGTTTTCTGTTGACTAAAAAAACATTTTTTAGCGGGCCGATTGAAATTGATTTTAAATAAAATCAACTGATTAGAATTTTTGGTTGGGTGTGTGTATGTCTGGACGACTTTTTGTATAAAATTTGTATTCCTAAACGTTGGCATTGGTTTTCTACTGTTTATTGTACACTTCTGAAAATTAATCACACATTTTCCTACATGTGATTATAAAATATGTACTATCTTGTTGTTTTCTTTCAGAGATACTACCGAGAATTTTTGTACAGTTTTAAATAATAAATTTTAATCGCACAAGAAAAGTGAAAGAATGAAAGCGTCGAAGTTTGAAAGTGCTTCTTCCACCCGAAAAATCCTCAGTTTGACAAAAAACTAAGGCCTAATTCAAAAATCGGCGCGGGTCAGGCGATGTAGTTTCTTTTCCTCTTTCAAACAAAAAAGAATGAACTCTCTACGACAAACCACTATTAAAAATCTTGGGACGCACTTCAGGTGTAACTCTTATATAGAGAAAACGCTCTATTAAACGCTGTATGAGATATTCGATTTTAGGACGTCTAGGAAAATGCCTGTAACTTTTTGATGCAAAGCCATACAGAGTTGTGTGAGGTCTTATTTTGATCAGAAACGTTTGTTCTACAAAGCTGTGTTCTCAGAAAAATTTTAATTGCATAAGTGTACAGGAAAAAACCATTATTTAAAGATCCGTTTTTTCGAGGCTCTTAGAAAACTTGCTCAAAATCCTCGAAAAAACAGTTTTGTAACAAAAAGCAATACAGATTCAGGAACTAGACACTTCAGGCTATCTTGATATAAGCTTTATTCTGTCAGAATACAAGCGGAAAATAGCGCGTGGAGGAAGCACTTTCAAACTTCGACGCTTTCATTCTTTCACTTTTATTGTGCGATTAAAATTTATTATTTAAAACTGTACCAAAATTCTCGGTAGCATCTCTGAAAGAAAACATGAAGATAGTACATATTTTATAATCACATGTAGGAAAATGTGTGATTAATTTTCAGAAGTGTACAATAAACAGTAGAAAACCAACATGACTAAAACTGCTGTTACATTGAAACTGTGCGGACTGAGAACAGAAATGTATCGACTTGAATTTAGGCTTCTGTGTTTATGACTAATACATGCAAGTATCGAATCAGTGTTTTAGACTGTTGAGGTGGAAGACGCAGAAACTGACCAATGACCAACAACTAGTACCAATGAGCGGATGACGGATACGTAAAGCTGTATTCTTCAATATTCATACGTGTTCACTACTGGCATAACAGCCTTCATTTCCATTTAGAGGTGGCGGCTTCCCATTCGAAATTTTCTGTATAGCTGAGGAACCTTTCAGATCTAGTCCGAAAAGATTTTCGTTCGACGAAAGAGCCGTTTTAAGCTCGAAAATTTCAGCCGACTTTCATTTATTTTGGAAAGGTTGACATTTAAATCAACTGCGATAATTACGTCTCATTTTCTAATAAAGCAGAGATATATAATTTTTAAGTACTTGTTAGCATTTGAAACATAATGTATAGCCGGAAATATAGGGGACAATGAAAAGAGTTTTTGCTTCAGTTTTCCAAAACCAAGCACTTCATTCACAAAACTGAAAATTGAGAATATTCATTTTTTCAGTTTTAACATTAATTAGAATGAGATGAAATAACTGAACAGAAGAATGAGCCTTATTGATTGAAATTAAAGCATCGTCTATCGTAGCACAGAATAAATGTAAAGTATCATAGTTTTGATCGATCAGAATTCGCCGAATTTTTGGATGAAAGTGATTGTGTAGCAAAATGAAGTAAAATAAAGATTTTTAATAACGAATCCAAAAACAATTTCAGGACGCTATGAATCTATGCGTACACAGACGAATTCATCATATAATAGTAGTGCCATGATAGAGAACCAATAGAATCCAACGATAAAACGATTTAGTCATCCCAGACCACTTCAATATGCAAGTAAACTATCAGCAAGAACACAAAAACTGTTAGATTCTCCTACTCGAATGCGCTTTCTTCCTCAACCCACTCCTATACAAACAAGTTCGTGTCATTCGTATAATCCTAGAAACCGATCACAACTGCTATTTAATAATTGTTTCAAATTATGGACTACTAGTTTGAGTAATTCAGTTGATCCTTCAGATCAACATTGTAGCAGATCTCTACCATGCCTTTATCATAATTGTTAAAGTAGGTCTTTGACGGACGAGATGATGCGTAACTTCTAAGAAAATTAATTATTACACAAAAATCTGGAATACGGGCAGCGAACTGTCGTGCATAACTTACCGATTCTCATAGCCTAAAAGGTTTCCCTTATTCGAAAAACTGTTCAAGAAGAAAATTTGCTTTTGTGTATTGTAATCTTAAATAGCTATAAAAAGTAATACTACTCCTAGAAGTTTCAATGCCATGGAGTATCAGCTTATTTTGGTTATTATTATACATAAAAATACTACTAATATTTACAATCATATCATGTAGATTCATCGTTCCAATTGTTAGGATTCTAATGGCGAAAGAAAAGTTTTCTGAACATTTACTGATGCACGAAAAACGTTTTAGCTTTACCTGTTCATCTCTCTGTTTCTTTCTATATCGAAATCGAACATAAGTATCAGTAGTCGTGCTGATTTTAAACGTGATAATCTATTGGACATGATAGATAACAGATAATAGAAAATACTGGCCAAAAATTCACTGACGAGACTGTAGGCTGACAGGAATTTTTGTCACCAACTCGTCATACTTTTTGTCTTCTTGTTGAGCGTAACTGATTTTCTAAAACCATCAGAATTTCTCCAGCTCTCTAGAAGAACCCGTTAAACTTGGTTTGAAAAATCTAATGGTAAAAGATTATTAAAATTGCTTTAAAATGCTTGGAGATAACAAATTTCTTAAATCTAAAATCGCGTTCGGTGATTTTATGAGTGAGAGATAATCTTGTCGGTCTATTTATTTAGAATAATTTATCCAATAATAATGTAATACTGCTCAAAAATAATAGCAAACCTGTAACATCAAATAATTTTCTCAATGTAATTTCACTCGATTTTTCATCAGAATTTTTAGTTATCTTTAGCTAAATGATCCATTATATTTTTCATCAATATAATGGTCAATCGAAGATTTTTACAAATATCAATAACCGTCAGCTTTTTTTTAACGGATCAGAATGGCAATCATTGTCGATGCATGGTCGGGACTAGTCCACACAAAATACAAAGATTTTATTAATGATTTGTTCTGTGCCGACAGCAGAGAAATCTCCTTTTTAGTTATAAACTTCGGTGTCCGTTTCTTTATCGTCTCCCAATTCATTTAGCGTGTGTTAGTGGATGAGAAAAAAGTTCAATCATCATATCTTTTTTCACACCATGTAAACTCGTGTCTTCGCTAAAGTGGTGAATGTCCGTGACATATTTTCTTTTTTCAAGTTTGAAGCATGGTTTTTAAAAAAAAAACATTTATAAAAACGTTATTTACACACTCTAAAACAACAAAAAAGAAAGTATAATAAATTCAGTATATTATCAATCATCAAATAAGCAAAGATTCCTTTTATGAGCTGAGATATTGGGCAACATTTATATCCAAGATATAAAAAATTTTATGACGATATACTTGATGCATGAGAAAAGATTATGACTTATGTTCTTATAAAGTATCTACACATCATCATCTTTATATGTTGGCTGAATAGTGGGCAGATCTTTTCTCGGCAAATATTGTTTAGTATCCTCATTACTTATATCCTCTTTTTTTCCTTCTCTATCTCTCCCATTTTCTGATAAACGTCTTAATTGTTCAATTCTTGTTCTCAAATCAACAGTTTGAAATTTTTCTTGTCGATAAACAATTCCTTTCTTACCACAATTCAATGCCAAAATATCACAAATAAATGTTGCTAAACCTAATACACCAATCATTGATCCAATATTTAATGTTAAAGTTAAAAAATTAAATTTACCTGCTTGTCCTGTCACAGTTATAATAAATCTTAATCCAAATGCTTTTGTTAATGTTCGATAAGCTCGATGATACGTTTGATTATAATATTTCCAATGTGATGCAAAACGAAAATTAAAACCAAAACTAAATTTTTCTATATTAGAACGAGAATCAAGACGTCCAAACGTATATTTAGGTATACATTCACTTAATGGTTTATCTAAATTACAATTCCAATCAATTTTAATTCGAATAACACCACCATATTTTAACATTTTTTGTCTTTCATCATCATCTGTTTCAACTATATTTAATAAATCTCCTACTCTAAATATTGGACATTGTTCATGTGTAACAGAATTCCAATTACAATTTTTTAAATAATTTGAGTCATGTATAAGATTACTGCGTGCTGTATTAAATTTTGGAAATTCAATAAAATTTTTAACAAAAATTGTAAAATTTAATGCATCACTAACTGGTTCAGGTTGAATTAAATCATTTTCTACTGGACACCATCCTTCCATTTCACATAGACCAAATGATGTCGTTGAACTATTTTTTGGTTTTCGACAGATACCAGTCCAACGTCCATTTGCTTTTGACGTTTGTTGATTTTTTGTACAATCGGCGTTTGATGTACAATTTGCAGGCCTTACATCAAATCCTTCGCTACATTTTGTTCGTTGTTGATCAGTTTTAATATAATTTGTCATGATAAACAAAGCGTTATTCTCTTGTGGTGGTATAATATAATCGGCATTATCAATTGTTATTATCTCATTCTGTTTATTATAACTAATACCGATACCTTTAACTTTTAACGTTACTGAACTTATCATTGCTGTGTCGATTTGTTGATATCCTTTTTGATATCCCATAACATAGAGAATAGTATAAGTTAATATTGCAATTTGAACAGCACGACATGTTAACGCTATTGACCAACTATGAATCGTAACAATTTTTGGAGCTAAAATATAAAAAGATTAAAAAAATAAAAATGAAAAAAAATTATCAATTAAATATAATTTAGATAAAAATGGATAAGATAAATATAACTTTTCTCTTGCTTTTTTTGTCTATACATACTTTCATATTCTGTTACCAAACTAACTAAAACAGATTTAACATAATCAATAGTGAATAATTGTTTAAATATATAACGTAGTTTTCCAATATTTTCGTTAGACGATGAATGCATTTTATCCTATAAAAATAGTTTTTTTAATCAAAATATAGATAAATTTTCATGATTTTTATCATTTTTTTTTCTCTATTTTATTATTATTTATAATAGTAAAAGGGAGAGGAATAAATAAAAACTATTGACTTTATTTCGAATAAATCAATACTGTGCTATAAAATTTTGTATTTCAAACGGTAGAATAGTGAATATTCCATACAATATTTTAAGAAAAAAACATTTTTGGTTTTTTTGAAAGAGCTCAAATAAGTGGTTAATATATATAGTCAATATAATTAACTATTATAAAACAAAAGAATCGTTTTATTATTTTCTATTTTATTTTTATTCTCACAACTCTATTAAAATATAAAAGAAAAAGTTCTAGCATTCTGAATATGGTCAAAACACCGAGTCATTTTTTTTTTCTTTCTATTGAATGATATTAGCCAGAAAGAAATTTCCGTTTTATTTTTCCATCGTTTTTTTCCTATTGTTTTCTGACAGATATGCCATTAGAAAAAGAAAAAAAAAACACTAAATGAGAAACAATTGATTTCTTTTTTGTCCGTGCGAACAAGGTATATAATTAACGTTTTAACGTTATATTATAAGCACTCTGCATAGCATGAGATAAATCTATAGAGTTAATAAAAGAGAATGTTATACGAAACAAGAAGAGAAAATGTCTGTGAAATATAAAGAGTAGTTAATAGAAAAAAACTTCATTAAACACTACACGAATAGACGAAAGAAGTGTTTTTTTATTTCTTTGTAAAACCTATTATTAACTTAAGCATATGGTTGATGGTACTGATATACCAGAATAAAACTATTTATTATTTAATTCATCAGATGTGCATGTATTTTATAGTTCCAACTTTGATGTTGTTTGTTTAATAATCTATATAATAATAGAGATTATTATACAGATAAGAGGATAAGAGTGACGACAAATGAGATTAATATGTCTATTACGTGTATGCATGTATGTCAATAAACGATTACTATCGATAATCTTCTAAAGAAAAGAATTGATTTAACTGATTAGTTGAAAAGCAAAAAAAAAAACCAACAACAACAACATGGTATAATAATTTAATTGGGTAATAGAAAATAATTGTAGACAAAAAGCTGATAAAATGTGTGAAAGACACTAATTTATACGAAAATATTTTCTTTATTAAATCACATCACACTTAATATTGCAAATATATGTTTTAAAAAACAACAACTCGTCTAATACTTATGTGAAATAATTAGAAATGTGAATGCTATGATAAAAATGACTGTTTCTCTATGGTAATATAAAAATTGTAGATTTGAGTGTTTGTCAGTACATCCGTTTCTCTCTTTGACAATATTAATATATTTTTAGATAAAACAGAAATCTAATTTCCGTTAGAATAACTGGTACTATTTCAAGTATATACAAAAAAATCGATAATTTTTTATGTTTTTATTTACTGTCGTACAATCCAATATCGAATCATTAATAACAAAATTCGAATAAATGAACAAATAATTTATTTGAACAAAAATAAAACTCACTTTATTTTTTTGACTATTGTTCTATGTTTTCATTAATATTTTTAAGTTAGACTATTCAATGAAATCTGGTAGAATATTTGATGAACGTAAATTATGTCATTATATCTGTGATTAATTTGACCTTTTTTTTTTGTGTTTTTTAGTGATAAAATCTACCTCATAATATAAAATCGAAATAATTTTTTAGTAGGAAATAAACTACATGATGCAAGTGTACCGAGAGAGAGAGAGAGCAGTAAAATGTCATGGAGCAAATAGTTTAATAATAGAGAACATACAATCTACAGAGGAACTGAATAAAACATATTTTTTGCATGATTGTACAATCATATGTTAAAACGATTCTCTTATGACATATAAAAATAATTTTGTAGTTTAATATTAATAATTTTTAAGTAAAAGTAATAACACACTATGTCTACAAAAACCATTTGACAGTTTTGACAAATAAAAAGTAGAATATAACATGAAGAAGAAAATGTTGTTATTATCTCTAGTAGAATCAAAACAAACATTATGACAATTAGTAATCAACACAAGGATCAATTGAGAAAAATGTTGTATGACATTTATTAATACATATGTTATGGATATTGATCGTTATAGTTCTATAAATCATTACTATTAAAGAATTAAAGTAGAATGAAAAACTGTATCATGAAATGTGTAGTCTGATCAGGCATGTTGGGGTATCCGGGAGAATTGTTATACATCAGTTATCGCTATTCGATCAGAGCCATAAAACATCTCATTTTGTAGAAAAATGTTTGTTCTACAAAACGGATTTGTTAAAAGAATTTAGAAATCATTTCTAAGAAAACTTAGAGCATACTAAAATGTAGTAAATCACAGCAAAAAAACTGTTTTTAACAACTAGATATTTACCAATTTTTCACTAATGTTGAGCATCCCGGAAAATTGGCATGCATCGGTTACTAAGATTCGCTCATAGTTCCGGAACATCTCATTTTTCTACAAAATGAGATGTTTCACAGCTGTGAGCGAATCGCGATAACTGATGTATAGCAATTATCCCGGATGCTTCAGCACCAGTTTTTAACTGGTGCATGCCTAAGTCTAATAAATAAAATTTATTCTTCCTGATCAGCAAAAGACATCTGCTGATGATATAAATTAGTTGAAAAAATTTGATTTTTATCTGCTTCTTTTCCGAATACTAAATTTTAGTCTAATGTGATAAATGTCTCTTCTTCTCACGTATCATATCATCATCCTTGATATTACACAGAGAATATTATACAACGATAAATTTGGTTGACCTATGCAACAGGTACCATTGTCGTGCACTTACTTTCATGATCATTATTATCAACCAAGGTTTTATTGGAAAACCTATATCGTGGCACCGAAACACTTGCTCATTGTTGCTCATATATAGTATACATGCAGTACACAAAGGGCAACGTTTTGTTATACTCTTGAATCGGATTAAATTCTAGGAAACGTTTGGAAACTCATTACATTGAACATATCTCAAGGAAAAACAATTGAATTCAGAAAACCTAAGTCTATTTCTTGGAGAGATTCGATCTAGAACGATCAATTTCCTTTAGCTGAGGGAGTCTCATTTCCAAATCTGAGTCATTTTTAGTCGTATTTCTGTTGAATGCGAAAAAAAATTTGTTTTAGCCTTATGACCCCGTATATTTAGGCTAACTGTTACCTACATATTTTCTCAGTATCCCTAACGGTGCCTAGTTATCGAAACAAAAACTTTATTTTTTCAATTAATAGCTCAGATATCAAAGTATATCTCTATGTGTTGAATCTGTCACTTTTCGATTTTGTCTAATGTTCTCCTGGATGCACACTATGCCCCTGTCCTATCTCTCATGCGCTGAAAAGGGTCGCGGAAATCTTTTGCGAAATTAGTATATATTCAGGAAACCATATTAAATTGTTCCTGAGAGCATGAAAAATTACGAGCAAACATTTTTAAAATCTAAAACTATTGCGTGTCTTTATATATCTGTTATTTTTGTGATGTGAGCAAGAAAATCGACGAAATACAGGTACGCAATATTGCCACCGTCAAAATGGACGGCAGTAAGATTTATTCGAATAAATTTTATTGAAAAACAGTCCGAAAAAGGCGAAGAATTCGAGAAAATCGACTTCTGCGGAGCAATTGAAATGTAAAAATATTGGAATACGTGTACATTGTACCAATTGATAAGAGCCATGACGTATTGAATCAATATCATTCTTACATAACAGACATTTGGAACGATCCTTTGGCATACCACAATCTACAAAATAATACATATAATAACAATTTTTTGAACATTAATAAATGAATCTTCCTGTTTTATTCATTACACGCATTGTATTCGAAATGAATCTTCACCTTTATTTCAATATCCTACAGTACCAATAATTTATGTATCCGCTTGGAAAGCACGTGTATCACGCGAGGTTCATATGAACATGCGTTGAATGTGAGGATAATGACTCTTAACATACAGGTGTCAGCCAGTAGCTTCGTTTTTTTGAAGAATACTAAAACATGAAGTATGTTTTCACAGACCTAATACAGCCAATAAATGCATAGGAAAGGAGCACAAGACGTTTTATTCATAATATGTAGTTAATATTCAAATGAAGGGGAAACAAACTTTTTGATCAAACAATCAACACTCTTCGTTTGTTGATTTCAAATATTTATAAATATTTTCAAAAAATTGTGATATTCGTTTCGCAATATCAACGACTTTTTTTGTTATCCACCGTACAAGATCAGTAACAAGAACAAGTACTTTTTCAAATACTGTATTAGAAGTGCGTTTAAAATGTGTTAATACTATATTCGTTTGTACCAAATGTTTTTTATACAATACGCGTTTTTCATCAAAATCAACATCGTCTTTCTTTGGACGATTTTCTGTAATTTTACTTTCTAATAAATCTAATTTTGTTGTAAAATCCACCAATGTTGAGTGAATATTTGTTTGTATTTCTTGTTCTAACTGTTCTAGTTCTTGATCAATCATAACCTTATTTGCAGCTCGATTTGTTATATCTAAAAAGTTTCTTTCCAATTGTTTAAAAGGCATTTGTAGTTCTTTATATGCAGGACAATCCTCATAATCAATTGTACTTTGACCTTAAAAAGGAGAAGAAAATCTTCATAGTATAATCGTATTAGTCAATAATCGATCATTTTCCAGCAACATACCTGTTATTGTCGATGCTTTTATACAGTCCACACTATGTGTTGCTAAATGATTAAATGATATTTTATCGGTTTTGAAACAATTTTCACATAAATTATAATCCGTACAAGTTCTGCATTTAAATCTTAAACCTTCAAAATTGGTTGCGGCGCAGACATCGCACGTGATATCTTAAGAATACAGTATACAAGTGATTAAGAAGCTTTTCAATAAGGACTGATTAATCTTATAAAACTGTAACTCTCTGATGATTCAATTTTGATGAGAAAAACTATTTTCCATTGAATACTGGATTTTTAAAGTAGCATAGACAATACTGATTGTGATATTCGGAATCATCATTGTTGATTACTCGGAAAAATTTGGAGAAAAGAAAAATTTGCCTTCGAATGTCAGGGAGCAAAAAACCGATCAATTTCTTTTCTCTCTCTCTTTCTTTCGAGCACGTGTTGATCCAAATTTTTATTTATTCATGGTGGCGGCCTCCTTCTCTGGTGTTTTTTCTTTTACTTCTTATTTGCTGATAACGTGTTTGATGCATCTGACGCAGCGCTTTGTCTAATCCAGCAAAATATACTCTTCTTACTTAAAATGTTCTGTTTGCCATACCATACTTTTCAAAAAAACAACGTACAAAACTCTGTATTAGGCGATCATTTTGCAAACTTTTACATGAAAGCAGCTATTCCTTCCGTTGTTTCAACGTTTAATGCAGAAATCCATGGCGAAACGGTTGCACGGGGAATTTATCAATTGAAAGCAAATGTTATTCATATAAAACAAGCACTATAAAGTTACTAACCTTGATGACAAAATGCCATAGTACAAACATAAAAATCAATAAGGAAATTCTATCTGAAATGGGAAAGGTAAATTAATAGAAGTCCAAAAAGACAATCGAATTTTTATACATGCTCTCAAATAAAGGCTTTTTGCTATTGATTATAATTATGTTAGTTACAATAATGTATTGCAATAATGTTTCAGTGTACAATAAAGCGAAAGAAACGATGCTACATTGTTCAAGAAAACAGGTATTATTAATCTAAATTTTTAATAATGTCATCCTTAAAATTACTTTGACCAATTTTCTCAATATGATCATAAACATGTTGTTTCAGAAATTGTTCCATTTTTCTTTGAAAAGCTTCTGTCATGTTCGTTGTATCATCACCTTGACATAAATGAGTCCATAACTTATCAAAAAATGCTGTATAGTCACAAATAACAACATTAAATACGCCTTGTAAAAGTTTTACAGTTTCATTAAAAAATTTTAATAATTTAACATAATTTTGTCGTTTTATATCATAATCAGGTTCGTCTGGTTTCGGTTTAGCAGACGCAATCTGGTCATTGATTAAATTAAGATAACTTGAAAAAAAAAACATTTATTAGAGGTGACACTTTACATTCTATCGTCAATGCAGGCTTGCACCAAAGGTGCGAAGCAAAGAGATGTTCGTATTCAGTCTACGATGATATGCAAAGTTGTTCGAATCAGCATCCGCACATATCGCATTTTAGAGGTCCTTAAAATGATACTGCAGCTCTGCAGCTATTGCAAGAACTGAATAATCTTCACTTCACTTTCCTGACCAAAAACATCAAAAATGTCATATTTCCAACAAAGTTTCGTCTTCCAGTAACACTTGCTGCCTGCATAGATCGTTCAGAAATCGATTCAGATCGATAGAACAAAGAATAGCCGGTAAAATCAGACCTTCTCGTGTGCTTTTTGATGGTTTGCCACTCGAATACTTAGTTTTGAGTGCGGTACATATTCACTATTCGGTTTAAGAGAATGTTTCATGTCGTCGGATCATGTAGAAACACCAGCAATGCTCATTTCTAGCAGAAATTCTTTGCTCTATCGATCTAAAACGATTTGCGGCGAAAAGGTTTACTAAGAAACCAGTTTTCCAAAACTCGCCGCTAATCTTCTAGAAATCTCAAAAGTGTGTCGATTGAACCTATCCAATTAGTTTGGGTTGAACCTAAACCAATATTATAGTTTTTATTGGAAAAAAAGCTTAGCTCTTTCGAGCTGAAAGTTAGTCGATTTCTAGATTTAAATCAAATGCAACATATGGCTTCATATTCTGCTAGAAAAAACGGATAGATTTGCAATATGACGTATCCCATTTTTACAGTTCTTGCCTTTGGCTGAAAATTTTTCTTATTACATCAGATGTGCACCAGGTCTCAACAGTATTTTTCGATGCTCAATGCAGAATATGAAAAAAGTGGTTTGAGAACTTCGAAAGAACAATCAAATAAGGAATTTTGCCGTTTTTTGAAACTGTGATTTTTTAAAAAACTGAACATTTTTAATAATTGAAAATTGTTTATCTAAAAACTTCTGTTAAAAACTTAAAAGACATACTTCTTTTTTATTGAACATGATGATTTATACATGACTGGACAGAGCTTGACGTGATCTGTCTAATCATGTATAACTGACGAAAAATAAAATCCTTCTAGAACTTTAAATTGCCGCCACGTTAAAGTGAAGATAACTGAGCTCTCACATTTGCTAAGAAGCTCCAATTTGTGTCGGAAATCATTTCATTTTTTTCTCTGCTAGATATGTTTGATGCGAGTGCATAACTTTGCATATCATGGGAGATTTCATATGGATACAACCGGAAACCAACAGTTCTAAAACCTTTGTCAGTTTTTCAAATAATGGATGCGCCAGAATAAATGACTTTTTTTGTTTTTCTCGTGTTTCTTTAGGACTCTAAGGTTGGTGTTTTTTTTAAAAAATGCGTCGTGAAATACTCTACAAAATCATACTTAAACTTTAATTTCAGAACTCCAGTCAAGAAAACTACGCAAACTATACGAAAGACGAAAAAATTCAAAACTTTCTAAAGTCAAAAACGACTTTTTGTGTTAACGTTTCCTCGGCCCCTCAGAAAATGACACTTCGGACCCTCGGGTTTCAGACAGGTAGCGAGCCCTCGAGAAAAACTTCAGACCATCGAATAGAGATGTTCGGTACTTCCTAGCCCTCATCGCCGGTTGGGAAGCAAATCTGAATCAGTCATTATGTAGCCCTCACTTTACTCTGTCTGGCTGGTGGTACTTTAAGTAAAACTCCCATAACTCCATCAAACCAAAAGCTTTTTCGATCGAATTTGTTTTCTTTTGATTAGAAATGATTGCTCTTCTCTATCTGACTGCAAAATCAAAACTTCGATCATGTTTTCCGTTCTTGTTTGGGCACATTGTTGGAAACGCGGGGCTGTCAATTTTTAACGTACTTTTATAACTTTGTTCTCCTCATACGAAGATTAGAAAGTTCCGAAAACTGCTGAAAATGTCAGAAATATCGGTATTTGGAATAGAATCAGTAACATTATTACAATTGCACCACTCAAAACATATAGCAAGCACGGATTAGGTACGAACCTAAAAACGTAGTACAAACCTAAAACGTAAGTACGAACCTAAAAATTTTAGGTTCGTTTTCAACATACCAGAACCTAGATATAAAATATACTAGGAGAAAATCCAGAAAAACGGCAACGCTGTGACACCTTTGACAGTTTTTTGTCACAGTGTACCGTTTTTCTGGTTTTTCTTTCGTTGATACAAATTAATTAGAATAGTTTAACTTGACAAGCTATCACATCTTGTAGAGCGAATAATTCTAATGTTTACTAGCTCGTCTTTACTCTTTTAGACACGCTTTACAGATAGCCCAAAAATCGATTTTTGGGGCTGTTTGTACAACAGCTGTATTTTCATAACGAATCAACGTTCAGAGCCGAGACACTTTTCATTTTGTAAAGAAATGTTTAATCTACTTAATCATCTAGGTGCCATTTTAGATTAGCTTGTAGCTTTATTGCAATAACTTTTCGGAAAAGAGCAAAAAATGGAGGTCATTAGCTGGACAAACCGTATGATAAGACTGAAGCACTCTGCTCTGCCCGCGCAATAGGTTTCCCCAAAATCGAAATTTTTGTGGAACCCATAAAAAAATGAGTTTTATTTTTAAAGTATTTAGGTTACTGGCTTACACCTAAACTGGGCTGGTCTGTGGTGATAAATAAAACATTGACGAAAATAAGACAAAGAATGGTAATGATTAGATCTTGTCGTATATCAGGTTCTACATCTTTTTCTCTTCGTCCTGTTCTCAATCCTTTCTACGTACTTCCTCTTTTCACGTGTTTGTTTGCTATTTTCGCATTGTTTACTGATAAGCAACGTTTAGTCATTTCTATACCTGCTTAAAACGGATATATTTTGTCTGGAATGGAATGACTTTTTCTTTTCTTACCGTTCCAGAGAAATTTCTCTTGATGATAGATGTTTTCCGAAAACATCATGAAAAATGTTTTTCATCGGAGAACTGGTATGAGGCCATCGCTAGATGCAGTTTTTCCAATACGAATATGTCCTGTATGTTTTCGGTAAACATCTATC